TTGCAAATAGTGCCCATCACACACCGCATTTCAAGGCATCTTAATGAAAAACTACCTGGCACAGAGTGATCCCATTGGCCTGCCCAGCTTGTAATGCTCCATGGGAGTGAGTAATGTCTCAGCATCCAACCACCAGTACATTAGCAGATCACACCAGAACCCTGCCAAAAGCATTCAGAGGAATCATTCCCGGAAGAGACAAGCTTCACTGGGAGAACTTGCACAACCTGCTTGTCACTGCCAGCCCCCAGAGCTTGACAGGGCAAAGAAAAAGGATCAGTGGTAGTAGGAGGTAAAGAAAACCCATCCAGAGCAGAGTGGTTCCCATCAGATCATCATCTTTACATGATTCTTGAAAATCCCCAAAAACCTTCTGGTACCTTGCTGCAGCACTTCCTTTGAAAATAAACTTTTCCTAATGTCCAGTATGACATATGTTGAGGCTGTTAACACATATTAATCCCTCTTCAACCAAAAGGATAAGCTGCATCTTCTAACTCTACTTCCAATGTCTGTAAGTTACTGCAGCATTATTAGCCTCCTCTTTATTATCTTGTCCCAAAGACATCTCATATTGGAGTGAATCTTGAAGCCACATTAACTCTAGAAATGACAGTCACAGGCCAACTGGACAAAACAGTGCAGCATGGCTGCCAAGACAAAACCAGACCCCAATCCAGTGTCTGACCAGCTCTCATCCTGCCCTCCCCAGTTTTCAGGGCCTGGATCATGCTGTAAGCATCCATGCAATTGCATGGTTTGCACAAGCAGCAGCTGCATCATTGAAGCACACCAGACTTCCATTGGTTTATCTTCTGCACTGTTGTAGTACAATGAGATAAAAAAATTGCATTGTTGACATTTTTCATGCAGTATGATAAATCCAGCCCTAGGATATAGAGGAACTTGGTCTGGCTGCAGCAACCTGCAATATACACATGCCTGAGACAAATGCCCTCTCCTGCTCTTACTGGGGCATTATAGTGCATTTCTCATCCTTATTCCAGAAGTTTGGGAGAATTTATGCCAGAATTTGGGAGATGTCTCTGTCCATGACAATGGGGATTGGGACTAGATCATCTTTAAGATTCCTTCCAACCCTTAATATTCAATGATTTTGTGGAGTTTGCCCTCTGGTTACTAAAAAAGGCATATATACATGGGATAGCTAAAGCATGCAGTGATCATAGCTGCAGCATCTCCACAGATAGTGGATTGAAAATGCCTTCCAGAGAAAGCTAGAAATGTGCATCTTTTCTTCTCATATGGAAAAAAACAATGCCAACCACAATGCCACAGAATTTGTGGTAATTCCATCATGGAAAAAGCATGGACAAAATTAAGTACTTTCTATAAACAGCTGCTTTCATCAGAGGGACAGCTCTGAAACGCAACAAAAACAGTTCCCATTTCCCATTCCACCAGTGATCACACCAGGAGAGCAATCCTAGTAACTGTGTTTTATTCACTGTAGCTTCTTGGAATCTCTTGGAAAACCTACTATCAAGAAATGAGATAGTGAGATTTAAAACTGTAAGAGCATTAAAGGTGCTGCTACCTTTTTTTGCACATCCTTACCCTAGAAATCAGGGAGAGAGGAAGGAGGAAAAGATCATATGAGGAATCAGATCATCTTCACAAGAAGGTTGGAGAGAGCATCTGATGAGCAGAACAAGGAAAAATTTCATGCACTAACATAAACATCTAGAGAGGGAAAACAAGCCTAGACTCAAAACTGCTCACTGAATTTGTACACATATGTGTTCAGAGAGGAATGCTTTTGGAAAAAGAATGGTTTGCAGATCTTTTGGGAATAACAGAATTTTTCACTAAAAATTCTCCTTTCTTTAGAAAAGCCTTGGCAAGAAAACATTTTATCTGATCTCTCCAAGGTCCCTCAAGAGCTTCATGACCTTGCTCAATAAATGCTTCTATTAGGGCAGATTGATACTTGAAGCCCAAATAGAAGTCTGCTTTTTCCAATATCAGACCCACTGAATTAAACCAAGTGCCCTCCATGAGAACATAGAGAACACAAACCTCACTTCTACACAGACTAGCATTTTTGTATTTTCTTAACGATTTTCACTTCAAGATCCTCAGGTATTGTACAAAGCAGAAATGAATTCTGCTCCACATCACCACTTTGTGGTAGCTAAGTAGTACTATCCTCGTTTAACATGGAAGAGGAGATCCTGAGAGGTTAATTGTCTTTCCTAAGGTCACAGAAAAAGCCTGTGGGCAGGACAAAGCAGAGAACCCAAATTCCCTGATCTCACCAGCTTTTTGCCTCTATCATAATCCTGACCTCACTAGCTGCAAATACAGAAAACAAAAGTTTGTTGCCTGGAAGAGATTACGTTTTAGTAAGTTAAATTGTGATTTCAGGGATGTGTGAGAAAAGGGGGATAGGAGATTCACAGACACTTGCTTTTAAAATAAAAATAATTAAGAAGCAGAGGGGTTTAACATTATAGGTAACAAGATGTCCAGCAGCTGCAAAGACGTCCCTTTTGTGGAGTGTCTGCAGATCTTCTTTGCAAATCCATGCAGTTTTCAGGAATACCCCACCACTAATGCACAAAACTTGATTGATCGTGTTTTTAATAACACATAAGTGACAAAAACTGAGCTTTTGAAGTCTGTTCAAGTAACAGAATTGGTAAAAGCGAGCTGTTTGCCTCTTTACTGCTTTGGGAGCCTGAATACAATAACACACAGACACATCCTACCTACTCTACTAGGTCAACTGGCATAATCATGACATGAGTTAATATCTATTGTCCATTTCCAACGCACTTTCCTGCTGCTTTACATCTCCTGTGACCTAAGAAAATTTATGCTTTGTGATGTGGGGCTGGGGACCAATGTGGCTGGCAAAAGAAGCCACACTCTTTGCCTGAGTGACCTTGGGCAAATTGCTTCATGTTCTTGTGCCATGGACACACCAACAGTACAATTAGGTTAAAACTGAGCTGCGGCAGAAAAACAGGTATTGGATTCAGCCTTATCTGTTGATTAATGAAAGAACCCAGGTTCAAGCATATAACTTTCCCTCTACACAGTTAAAAAAAATCCAATTAATTACTAAATGCAGTATGCTTTCTGCAAAAGACAGGAGAGAAAAAGACTCAGAATGCTAGACCTCATATTAGGAAAATCACAAAAAGATAACATTAGAATTTATTTTCACTCTTGCTTCCCCTTCCTACAAACACCACCCTGGCAATAAACACCAGTCTTTTGCTTTAGCTTGTGCTTTTGAGTTGGAAGCTTTCAATGCATGGTATCCTGAGGTGCAAAATCCTAATGGCATGCCATGAACAATCAAGATATTTTATTTCATTACCCTTCTCAGTCACTTAAAGAAGGAATCTAGTTATTTAAATAGCATGTTTCTGTGAAAGAAACTGAGGAGAGTGAATTTTGTGAAAATCACTTTCTGAGCTGTGCTTTAGAAAAAAAATAACCTTTCTTTCCCCTGCAAATGCCTATAGAATGAGTTTTCATTGCTACTTTAAGCAGAAATACTCAAAATTACTGGAAATCCATGCTGGGAAGGCATGGGGGAGGCATTTAAGCTTCTTTTACTCAACACCCCTTGATTCAGCATCAAAATGAAACAAAAGAGAGGGCATATAGGTTGTTTTTTTCAGTACATTGCATTTTATGTTAAAAATAAATAATCCTAGAGACAAGTGTAGCGTTGAAATATACCATACAGCTGTTTTCTCTTCAGTGTTTGCTTTCATCTTTAATGAGAGTGAAATTCATGTCTGGCAAACACAACTGCCTTTAAAAATTGGTTAAATCAAAGTAACATCTACATTGCTGTCAGAATTATTGCCTAAGTAGCAATAAATAGACAAAAAAAAATCAAGTAAAAAAAAATAGTTGAATTGCACAGTAGAACCTATAGCTGATGCACAGATAGAGACACAGATAGATAAGTAGGTAGACAATTTGCTTTTTCATGGCTAGTAAGTTCCATGAAGAATGTATCTGAAAATGCAACCAATCTGCTTTATGCTGTTAATTGCTTTATATTCATTTCCAATAGTGGCAAAACAATAAAAGAGGCATTTTCAAGGCAGTGACAAGCTATAATAATCAGAATAATGGGAATATTGTCATCAGACATAAAGGTTTCCCAGAGTCCTTTAAATTACATCTGTTCCCAGACTACATGAGAATAGGAATGGTATTTCCGATACCAAGTCAAAAGAAACTTCAAGTTTTGTCCACAGCCACCTGCCGGGCGTTGCAGAGCGGGCGTGAGGGAGGGTCCTGCACTATCATGGCACAACGTGTGGGCTTTTGGGACGTGCCCTCTACACACGCACACACACACAGTCCCACAGGCTTCCAGGGACACCTCCGAGACGCGTTATTATTGACTTCGGGGAAAAGGCCTGAGATGACACGGATTTTTTTACAAACTTTCCACTCTGCTCACACTACGTGCCTCCCCTCAAAGCTCCTTGACGTGCTGCGGGGCTTTCCGCTCCTTAATGAATTAATGGGATCTCTCTTGCCTACAGCACTCACAGCGGGGCACTGGAGGGCTTTTCCACCAGCCCTGTGCATCACACATGCCAGGCAGGGAGGCAGCGAAGCGTGCCACGGTGTTTATTACATACGGGGAGACTGGGAGTGGGGGTCCCCAGGGCAGCGGCACACGGGACACGCGGGAGCGCAGCGCAGAGCGCTGGGGCCAGCCCGGCCCTCCGGGGCGCTGCCCGGGATCGGGGCTCTGCCTCCGGGGGCGGGGGCACAACCGTGCTCCCACTCGCCTTCACCTTTCCCCAGGAAAACTTTTCTCCTGCGGACATCGCTCCGTGCCCCGCTCCCGCTGGCCATAAGGGCACGGTGCCCGCCCAGCGCCCCTCTCCTTCTCGCAGCTGCTGTCCCGGCTGCTGTCCCGGCTCCCTCCCCGCCAAGCGCCGCCGGACCGGACCGGGTCGGGTGGGGTCGGCTCGGGTGTGCGGGGCGGTACTCACGCTGCTGTTGTGTCCGGACCAGTGCACCATGGCTTGGTTGTGCGCCGCATCCCCGGTGAGCGCGAAGGTGGTGCTGCTCAGCCTCGGCTCCTCGGCCCCTCGCGGCCGCGCCGCTCTCCCATCCTCCGGGGGCCCGCGGGGCTGAGCGCGACCGCCGCGCTGCCCCTCGGCCGCGGGCACTCCCCGGACGCCGCCGGCCGGCAGCGCCCGGCGCCCCTCGGTGCTCCGGCGGGTCCGCGGCGCCGCCGGGCCCCGGCTCCCGGGCGCGCCGCCTCCCGCCCCCGCCGCGCCGAGCGCCGCTCCCCGCGGCCCCGCTTGGCCCCCCGGCTCCGCGCCCGGCACCGGCACCGGCTCCGCGGCGGCCGCCGCCCCGAGTGAGCCCCGCGCCCGGCCGCTCGGCCAGCTCCGTAATCCTCGCGGCGGCGGCGGCGGTCGCTGCTCCTGCCTAAGGCGAGACGAGGAGGACGGCCAGGAGGGCGATGGAGATGAGCAGGATCTGCAAGTTATTTCGGCGCCGGTGCAACACCAAGAGAGAAGTAAGAACCATGTCCAGGCGAGAAAAATGGTGTGGCAGGTCGGAAAGCAGTTGGTCCCCTTCTCCATGCCTTTGCGGAGCGAGTCGGGGGGCTTGCAGAGGGAGGGGGGATGAGGCGCTGCGTTTAGGGCTTTTTTTTTTTTTTTTAGGAAGAAAGGGGCCGGATTCTAATTATAATATTTATTATTTGCAAAAGGCGCCTCTTTCTCTGGCTCTTCTTCTTTCTCTTCTTCGCTTTTCTCTTGACTCTTTCTCAGCCTCTGAGACGATGACCAGGAAAAAAAAAAAAAAAAAAAAAAAAGGAAAGAAGGGGGGGAAAAGGAAAAAAAACTCTCCCCGGTAGTTGGATTCTGTTCCTTACTGTTGCTGGATAATTTTTTTTTCAAAAGTGCTTTTCAGTGAAACTGTTCACGTTCAAGGATTTGATCAAGTGAGAGGGTACCACCACACGGGGGGAGGAGCCCCGAGCCTTGCCAAGCCGCCGCCGCCGCTGAAATACACCGCCGAGTCACCCGCCGCGCCGCGCCGCGCCGCCGGGGGCCGGGAGCGGGGCCGGGGGCGGGAGCGGGACACCGCGCTGCACCGAATCAGCTGGAGCATCACCCAGCCTTCTCTCCTGATTTGGTATGTGTGCTCCTGGCCGAGAGAAAGCAGCCGTCATTCCCCCGCTTCTCCTGATGTATATGTACATAGACTCGTGTTTACAGCGCTGTGGGTGCTCCTCGCCCTGTGTGTGTGCGCGTACATGTACGCACAAAGGCTGGATGCCAGCCACGGGCACGGGGGCACGAGGGAACGCAGCTGGGATGAGCGGCTCTTGGGTGCCTCCCGTGTGTGAGAGCGCACCCACGGACCCGGCCATCCAGCAGCATCCCTCCAGAGCCGGCTCCGTGCGTGTGGATGTGCCCGTCCCAAGCGCAGCCTCCCGGCCGCGGGACCTCGCGCGTGTGCGTGGGAATCCCAGCAGCCTTGCCACCGTCCAGCAAGGGAGACTAGCAGGATTTGTGTGGGGCCAATAACGAAGAAAGGGCAGTGTCTGCAGGCAGCTCCCTGCAGCAGCATCTCGGGACTGTGTCGGGAGAAGGAGCCAGGGGGATGTCTTTCTTTAGGTCACGGCAGCGCAGCGCTCCCGCTCCCGTCGCACGGATGCAGTCCCCCTGGCCAGGACACCTGTTTTCTGCTGGCAAAGCTCAAGAAGCCTTTGCAGCTTCAGCCCCCGGACAAGGTGTGAGTAATGGCAGGCTGTGAATGGGAGAGGGAGGCTGCTGCCGCCTCCCGCGGCTGCGGGGCGTCCCTGTGGGTCACCCTTGGCATCGCCATCTGTGCCAGTGCCACGTCCCTCCGGACCGATTCATTGCAGCAACACGTCGGCACTTTCTCTTCGGATCAAACCCACGGTCGACCTTCTCCCGTTCTCCTCCTCCCTTTGAAAAGTGTCGATAATTAGCGATTTTTTAATCGTCCCACCCTCCTACTTCCCGCATCAGCCATTCTTTGCCGTCCAAAGACGGATCCACCAACTACGCGGCTCTCCCCGCGGTCTGCCCCCTCCCCATCGCCAGGCCGGGTGCGGGGGCGGCTCAGCACTTTCTCCCGCCTATCGCGGGTCTCCCAGCCCGGCAGGGAGCGGGAGACAGAGGCAGGACCGGAGCTGACACTGCCCGCACCGGGGAGCGGGGAGGTTTCTGGCTTGGTCAGCGCCTGCTGCAGAGCGCCCGGCCCGGGCTGGGGGGTCCGTGCAGCCCGGCTGCCGCAGGGGAGCGAGCGGAGAGCCGGAGGAGGGAAGAGGGGCTGCACACAGCGCTGCCTGTTGCGAACGGGGGCAGCGGTCGCTAAAGGGCTGTCCTGCAGGAGTGGGAAGCGGGGCCCGGTGGCAGCCGGTGCACACAGAACAGCGCTGACAGCCTCGCGAAGGCGGCGGGGGCCGTACCCACAAACGCGGACCCTTATTAGCCTCAATTCCCAACGCAGAGAGGGAAAGTGGGAGGTGGGGGTAGGGGAAGCGAATCACCCACTCCCAGCGCAACGGATGGTATTCCTGGCTTGGAATCGGCTCCTTTTGTACTGTGCTGCCAAAATGTTTAGATGACATTTTATTTGTGTGGGAGCAGTGACGTGGGCCTGAGCCAGAGCTGCTCCACAGAACCTCAGGCAAGGGGATTTCACAAATTGCACACGCTTGTGGCAGGGGCTACCCTGCATGCACAGGGACACACCAGCCCTGAGGCCGCACACTACTGCTGCTTGTAGGCAACCAGCAGGGCGTGGGGAACAGGAAGGAGCCCACTGCCCCTCAAACTCGACAGCTGCAGGAACAGAGTTCCCAGCTGTGTGACATTAGCAGCACACATGCCACCCCAGTGTCTTGCCATTGCTGTGCACTGCGAGGAGAGGCACTGCCCACCTAATGCCATCCTCTAGCAGTGAGGCTGCAGCTGTGACAGGAAGAACTTGTTCTTAAATTATAATCAAAGTTTCTGCAGTCCCTCTGGACCCAGCAGCAGCTCACTGCTGCTCCTAAAGGTCTCTGCACATCAAGAATCCCAGGCACCACATTGTAAAAGCTACTGTGGTGCTAGCAATTGCCACTACTTAGCCAGTCCCCTGCAGTGCAGTCCACCCAATCCCATTTATCTCTCAGCCTTGCTATCTAGTTCTTGTCCAGATCCTGACCAGTCACTCCTTTGTGCAGCAGCATCCTTGGCCAAAGCCCACCCAGACCAAGACAGGACTTGTGGGCACATCTCATTTCACAAATCCTGCCAGCACAAAGCATTTCTTTGTGTCCACCACATCACTCTTTGTCACCACAAGAGCCCAGCTGTGCTGGACATGGCACAGAATCTGATGGTGAACACTTGAACGCAGCCTAACACTTTATTTGGGACAGTACTTTCACCATTCCAATAGCAGGTGTTTTCCACCCTGCAGACTGAAGAGCCATTCCTTGCAATCACCTCTGCGAGTGTCATCCTCACCTGCCACACTCGGGGATAGTCCCAGACATTCAGTGGTGATTGTATCAGTGAGATTACCCCAAGCCCTAATTTCTCAGACAAACACCCACAGGAAGCTCTGGTCTTTCTGAAGCAAATTCTAAAATGCCTTCATCAGTGCCTGCTTATTGCTGTTAGATAACAGGATGCACAGCTGGGGGAGTCCCACTGATAATGTGGGACTGCGTACTAGAATCTCCCCGCTCTGCCTCAGCAGCCGTGCTCTCAAGTGTCTTTCCTTCTCTAGAAAACAAAGGTAATGTGAGCAACACCCCCATCTCCTGCACGATTCGCGAACTGCGTGCCCATGGCCAGCCCACAGAAAAAGGGGCTTTTCCACTTTGTACCATCTCTGTTGCAGGAATAACAGACTTGCTTCAAAACCTGGCCTCTTGCATGACAGGGTGACAGTGAGGATGTCATCTGACAACCCCAGATTTGCACAGTCTATATCCAAGAATAGAAATGGAATAGTTCAACGCAGTATCCATTACAGGCTGTTTTAATCCCTGATCTAATCCATTATGATCTGCTTTAATCCCCACCCAGCTGCAAACATCCATTCAAAGAAGCAGGGGTTGGTGTTATATTCTGTTGGACCATGTTGAGTTTTAATTGATGTAGAGAAAACCATATGCCCTAACACCAGGCAATGCAGAGGATTTCTAAGTAAGTAAGTAAATGTTCCGGAAGGCAAATTGTGACACAAATACAAAGTAGCAGAACATTCCTATAACCGAGGGGGAGCTGAGTTCAGTTAAGGAGAGAAAAGCAATTGGGGGAGTTATGTTTGTTTGGAGGGGGTGATTTGGATGGAAGAAGACTAATGACACTATCTAAAGAAAGAAGCAAATAGAGCCTGGCAATTGCCAAAGCCTTCAAAAGCAGCATTGATTATTTGGGTTTTACTTTTTTTTCCCTCTTTCCTATTATATGAATTTCATGTGGGGAAAAAAATAATTATGAAATTTTAAATTCTATCACACATATCAATAACTTCATCATCCCTGCCTCTGCTGTTGATTGTTGACCTGCTGCCCAGTACCCCAACCCTTCTGTTTTGCCCAGCTCTGCCTATCATTGCTCCATGTCCCTCTCCTCCTGAAGGATTGCACACACCCAGAGCATGTCTCCCAGTCACTATCCCCCCAGAAAATTTCTGAGTGGGAGCTGGATCATGAAAGAAAGGAGGAAGGGTTAGGTAAGAGATCGTAAGAGGAAAATTTAGAGAGGGGGGAAAGAAATTAATGTCCCAGCTACACTGCACTCTTTTCACATACTCACACCCTCCCCTGAAGGTCTCCTGCACTCCTCAAGCCCTCCCAAGGGAGTAAATCCCACACATACTAAAAGAAAAATCAATGCTTGCTCCAGTTAACTTTAACCTATTTATTATGTGTGAGACCAGTCGCTGGAAAACAAAGCAGCTCTGTGATAATGGTGTCTTGTTTACCAAGGAAAAGCCTGAATCTACCTAAACAAAAATCATTAAAAGCTGAAGTATCCCTGTACCCTTAGACAAAGTGTCACCTGCAGGCAGGTCCTCCACCATTTTTGCTGGTGCAGTACTACCCCATTGTGGGACAGATTTTCTCTGAGCACAGCCAGGCAGGGTGTGCAGCAGACAGTCTGACTGAAGCACAGCAGGCCCGTGGCACTGACAGACCTGCTGCAAAGCTCTGGAACAGGGGCTGCAGAAAACTCTACAGATGCTGCAAGAGGGAGTCTGGTTTCTGCACTGAGTGATGAAGTGAGAGTCCAATACACAGGTACCACATAGCAGCACACCAACGGAGGTGTTTCACACAGCCTGGATCAAGGGACGGTGGCAGGACACTTGATCTCAGCTGATCTTGGAACAGGGTCCTCACAAAGTGGATCCCCTCACTGCATCACAGCGCCAGTCTCTGATCCACACCACTGACAGTGCCCCAGAGCAGGAGAGGGAGCCACAGGCCATGCTGGGACTGCAGCAGGTTGGGGCTTAGCAGAGTGAAGAACCTGCTGACAATCTCACCTCAGGCTCCCCAGCATGAGCAGATGTCATGTCAGGTTTGCTGACCAACTGCACTGCATCCCTCCTTTTGATTTTATCTATCTGCACACCATATCTGTGGGAGACAGAAGAGCCCCTTTCCTTCAGGGATGCTCAGACAGCTGCACTCTCTTCAGCCACTGATAAGGCTGCCCAAAAGGTGCACAACCTGCACAGTGCAGGTAAGAGACTCAGCAAGACACAGAGCAGGCAGGGGTGTTTTCAATTTTCTGGGGAAATTCAGCAGGTTCTAAATCATGTTTCTAGTTAATGTTGGACTTTATTGTTCATCTTAAAGCCAAGATAAGAAAATCCCCTTCTGCTGATAATCAGCATCATCAGGAATGCCAAAGAGCTTATCAGAATGGAATGAGTGCACAGATTTGCAGCATACACAAAG